CTACTCGACATTAAACAAAACACAATTTATTCAAACACTGTGTGGTTAAAATACAACAAATGAGAAAGGAACTTTGAATAACTTGATAAAAACCGAAAGGTATGCAGATGCTGGAAAACAGAAACAAAAACAGAAATTGTTGGAAAAGTTCAACAGGTCTGGCAGCATCTGTGGTGAGAAATCAGTATTAACATTTCAGGTCCAGTGGCTGCTCCACAGAACAGTTCTGAGGAACAGCCACCGGACCCAAATTGTTAACTCTGATTCTCTCCACAGATGCTGCCAGACCTGCTGAGCTATTCCAGCCATTTCTGTTTTTGTTGGAATAACTTAACTGTGTTGGAAAACATTATAGCATAAGAGATTATTTCACTACTAAGCAGTAATATAGTAATAATCCCAAAAACACACCCTTGGTAAAAGGCAAATTCAGAAAGCAGAATTGTCTCACATGCAAATAAACATCAGCGGGGATGGTACTGGGCAGAGACAGAATAAACATCAGTGGGGATGGTACTGGGCAGAGATAGAATAAACATCAGCGGGAATGGTACTGGGCAGAGATAGAATAAGAGCAGAGACAGAATAATCATCAGCAGGTACTGGGCAGCAGTGGGGGGAGAAAAATCCAGAGAATACTCAGACAGTGTAGCAACTGGGGGAGATTCACTGCCTTCCAATCCTGCTGAGATCCCAGCAACAACTGCTGAAAAACTAAAAATCCTGGTTCTGTGAGAGCTTGATCACACCCAGCCAGGCTGCTTCTATTGTTCCAACTTCTTTAAAAACTCAAGGCCACACAAGCTTTACTCTCTTGGTTTTGGTAGACTGCTTGTCATCTCTGCCTTAAAACGTGTCTTCAAAAAAAAAGGATAAAATAACCTCCTTAAATCCACAGCAGTGTCAGAGTCGATCTGCCTTATTTAAAATTTAAACATAGCTTGTCAGTTAACTGTTAGTCATCATCTAACTGTTTCTGTCTTCATTGCGATGCTTCTATCAATCAGAGTCCACTTGGCAAACAATCAGCATTCTCCTTTCATACAGATCAATGCTATTTTCCCTTTTATATTGGTATTTCTTGTGCATTATCCTATTGAGTGAAAGACAAAATGTGTAGTTTTTCAGCAGTACCGAAATCACTAAAAAGTTGAAACGCTCATAAAGTAAACTGAGGAGCTTCAAAATTTAAGACATTTGTATTAACTATATTTGTAAGTCTGGAAGTCTGGAATTCCGTTAGCTTACACTTTTGGGGGTGATTTAGACCTTGTTTCAGTGATTACTTCCAAATGGAGCACAGATATGTTCTTTATTATAAATTACCAAAATGAATGAGTTAAAATGCTGAATATAGTTAGTATAATTTTTCATTGTAATTGCAAGTTTAAGAAGACGAACTTTGTACAGTAAATAACGAAAATAGACACAAAGGTAAGATATAATGACTTCTTTTGTTGTCATAAGAAATTTGAAACAAGCGCCCGTGCTAAATTTTGGTAAAATGAATTAGAACTTCTGACCATTTGAGCCACTGTTTATGCCCTGTCTGAACCTCCTCCCAGTCAACTGACCACTTCCCACCTTGCCTTCAAGATACAGTCTTCCCCATGCTTTATGTTATACATCCAGTCTCCTGTACAATATGTCAAATATGAAACAACACCAAATGTTTTCACAAAACATCAATATGCTTAACAAAAACAAAGTTGGTGGAAAAGCTCAGCAGGCCTGGCAGCATCTGTGAAGGAGAAAACAGAATTAACGTTTCGGGTCCGGTGACCCTTCATCAGAACTGAGATCTGAGGAAGGGTCACCGAACCTGAGTTAGTTGAGGAAGTGTTCACGGACCCGAAACGTTAACTCTGTTTTCTCCTTCACAGATGCTGCCAGACCTGCTGAGCTTTTCCACCAACTTTGTTTTTGTTCCTGATTTACAGCATCCGCAGTTCTTTTGGTTTTTATCAGTAGACTTAATATTGGAGCTGGAAAAGAAACTCATGTAATCGATGTGTATATGAGTGAAACTGGAAAGTTCTGGAAGGACTCCACAGCTCAAGAAGCTTCTGTAGAGGAAGAATTACAATTCGTGTCAAATGGCCTTCCATCAGAACTTTTCTTTTGTATGCCATATCCAAGTATCAGCAAGGCTGGGTATTCTTTTGCATACATGGCAATAAATATTAATTTCAATAGAGAACTGTTTTTACATTATAAACCTTAAAGAAAAGTGCTTCTTTTATAACACAGCTGGAATTTTGTGTACAAAACTGATAAATCACAAAATCTATTTTTAGAAGTTTTTAAAAAAAATGGCATGTGAAAACTTTGTGCACAGTGTTCCCCAGACTTTGTTTTTCAAGATATTTATTAATTAAATATAATTGTGAAACTATGGAGTAGAAAATATTTGTGAAACAAATAGTATGATACTGTACTTTTTGTGTTTGTAGGAATGTGGAACCACTCCAGGAGGTGGTTCCAATGCCAAGTTCTCTCACATTCTGCAGAAGGATGCTTTTCTGGTCTTTCGATCATTATGCAAACTTTCCATGAAGCCACTTTCTGATGGTCCTCCTGATCCAAAGTAAGTTAGGCTTGTGAAAGTGCTAAGCCAGAATGTAAGATTTTGAAATTGAAAACAATTGAAATGTATCCTTAAAAATAAGTTTTAAGTTTTATTTAGATCAAGTGATCCTTAAAATATATTTCTTTTTCAGTTGGTTACCTGTGTTGCATTTCAGATTCAGAAGTAACGACTCCTACAAATTTAGAAAATTGATAAATAGAATCACCAACACTTTTTGGTAGTAATGCATTGGGTACCTAAGCTCAGCTACAGTGTAATGCCTTTTTGTAAGATGTCAATCTCATTTTCTCAGATTCTTTGTGAGATCCTATACCCTTCTTGATTTTTTTCACATGAATGCAGTCATTATGATTGCTCTGTCATGAGGTGATGGACTAGTGGTATTATGACTAGACTATTAACATTGGGGAATGACAGGTCATGTTCCGGATCCGGGTTCAAATCCCACCATGGCAGATAGTGTAATTTGAATTAAAAATGAAAAGTCCAGAACCAAGAGGCTAATGATAACCAAGAAGGTGTTGAAAAACTGCTATCTGGCTCACTAACGTCCTTGAGGGAAGGAAATTGCCATCCTCACTTGGTCTGGCCAGCATGACAGCAGATGTAGAGGAAGGTGGTGGACTCTTAATTGCCTAGAGACACCTAGCCTGTGGCACCCACATTCCATGAATGAATAAAAAAGAATTAGAATATGTAGAGTATCCATTCGTTATTACTGTTACTATTTCAAATTTGCATAAAAAGGAATGTAAACAAATTTGGCATATTTAGCCAGTGCTTCCACAATAATTCTTCTGTTACCCAATAAGTAGAAGTTGAAAGGTGAATCCTTTATTTTGTTTAGCCACAGTAGAAGAAAACACAAATTCTGGAAATAATAGGAATCACCAGTCTAGCAAGACTGAGGAACCTGAAGAAACCAGCATAAGTAACAAGGAAAAGTCTGAAAAAATTAATGGTACGAAGTCGTGGCAGATTCACAGCCTGATGGCCTGTATACTGTAGAGATAGTGAATGCATTGGTTTTTGATTATCTAGATTCTGTTTGTATCTAGAAATCACCAAGAATTAGAAGGTAGCAGACATAACCGCAGACTTTCTTTTAAAAAAAAAAGTGAAAGTGAAAATGGAGAACTGCACACCAGTCAGCCTATCATTACTCGTAGACAAAATGCTAGATTCTATTATTAGGGACGTAGTAAATTAATGCATTGAGGAAGCAGAAGGAAGAAGGGTCCCGGGACTAAAAATGTTGCTTTCGGCTTTCTCTCCACATGCTGATTTTCTGCAGTAATTTCTGGTTTTGTTTAAGATGAACAGTTACGGCTTATGAAAGAGAAATTGTTTTTGACAAATCTGTTAGAGAGTTTTGGATACTTCCAGAAGGATAGAAAAGTAGCAACTGGCAGGTGCTGTGTATTTGAATTAAAGAAAAGGTGTCACATATGCAGAATTAGGATTTGTGGAATTGGGGCTCATATATTAACTTGGACTGAAGAATGGTTCGTGGACAAGAAACATGTAGCAATACCACAAATGGGCAAGTGTGAAGTACCCACGTTAGCAGGAAAATTAAAAAGTAGAATACCTTTTGAATGTGGAACACTGGAGGATTTTGAATTTGGAGGTGTCTTTGTAAATGAATGATGGAAAACTAACAGGTAAGAGCAGCAAGCAATTCAGAAGGTAAATGGTATGTTAGCTTTTATCATAATAATCTTGGAATATAAGAGTGAAGAAGTCTTAGTGTGGTTATACAGGGCATTGGTGAGACCACACCGGAGAAATGTGCGCATTTTTGGTCTCTTCATCTGATGCAGGGCATAATTGTCCTTTAAGTAATGTGATACATGAGATTGTCCTGAGAGGAGAGATTGAACAAACTATGGCTGTACAGGTTGTACCTCTCTAATCCCGCAGCCTTTGAGTGGCCTTTGCTGGGCCATTGAAGGTTAAGTCTCTTTAATGCACAAGCACTTCAAAACTATAGATCTCATCTTGACATAGCAAGCACATGCCAAATGAATGAATTATTTTTCCAGTTTGACCCCAAAATAGGATTTAGGATATCCAAACCGGAGAGAGTTTTTTTAAAAAAGTAATATTACTAAAGACCAATGCCGAACCGTTGCAAGGAATACTGAAGGTCCTCTGTGGGTGGTGGATCACAGAGATTGATGGACCAGAGAGTTCCAAATTAGGGTGGTACAACCTGTATTCTGCAAAGTTGAGAGATGGTCTCATTGAAAGTTGTAACATACTTAATGGGTTTACAAAGTAGATGCTGAGAAAATGATTTCCCTGGCTGGGTAAACTGGAGCAAGTGTTTACAGTCTAAAATGCAGGAATATCCATTTATGGTGAAGATGAGAAATTTCTGAACTCAATGGATTGCACCTTTTAAGAAATCTGTACTTAAGAAAACTGTGGACTTCCAGTTGTTTTGTATGTACAAGACAGTGAATAGCTCTTGTAATGCTTAAAATTAAAGTCAGTTGGAATTAGGAGAAAGCTCGCAACTGGTTGAAGTCATGCCCACTGCAATAGCTGAAGAGAGATCACCATTGCTTTTTCAAGGGCAGTTGCTGGTAACCAATAAATATTGGAAGCAGCACTCACATCAGATGAAGGAATAAAACAAAGAATAAATTCAATGTCAAAGCAGTTAGAAAAAGTGAAAAATGGGGGAAGAAGGTTAGGCTCAAAAACAATTAACGGCGACAAAAATTAGTTTTAAAATGCTTTTTATGAAAAAAAAATCAGCATTTTAATGCTGGAAGGATCACGTTTATGGAAAATAATTCCAATGTCATAGTTTCCATGTGAATGAAGGGTACTGAACTAGAAAAGGCAAACTTCATCAGTTTGTGGTAAGGTTATTTTGTATTTTATTAATTCATTCACAGGATAAAGGCGTCACTGTCTGAGCCAGAATTTATTGCCCAACCCTAGTTCCCATGAGAAACTGGTTGTGAGCTGTCTTGAACCACAGCAGTCCATTTGCTGCAGGCAGACCCAGAATGCCTTTCAGGAGTAAGTTACAGGATTTTGACTCAGCAACACTAAAGGAACAGCAGTAGTTTTTTAGGTCAGGATGGTGTCTGACTTGTATCTGCTGTCCTTGTCCTTCTAGATGATGACAATTGAGAGTTTTGGAGGTGTGCTGTCTAAGCAGCATTGGTGAATTTCTGCAGTGCATCTTGTAGATGGTGCACGTGGCTCTGAGTGTCTGAGGTGGATGGAGTGGATGTTTGAGGATGGTGGTGCCAGTCAAATGGGCTGTTTTGTCCTGGATGGTGTCTGTCTTTCTTGAGTCTTGTTGAGGCTGCATTCATCCAGGCAAGTGGAGAGTATTCCACTACATTGCTGAAATGTCCCTTGTTGACAAGTTTTGGGAAGTCAAGGGAGTTACATCCTGCTGGATTCTAGCCTCTGTCCTGTTTTTGTAACCATAGTATTAATATGAGGTTGTTGACTTGCTCGCTGAGCTGGCTTGTTTTCGTTCAGACATTTCATCACCACGCCAGGTAACTTCATCAGTGAGGCCTCCGATGAAATGATGCTGTTCTACTCTGCTTGGAATTTATGCTGTCCGGTCCGTTAGGGTGAGTAGTGTCATTTCCGGCTTTGTTCTGTATGGGTTTGTATATGGGGTCCAATTCTATATATTTGTTGATTGCATTATGGGTTGAGAACCATGCCTGTAGGAATTCCCGTGCGTGTCTATGTTTGGCTTGGGCTACTATGGTTACATTGTACCAGTTAAACTAATTACCTTCATTATCTGAGTGTACTGGTATTAAGGAAAGTTTGTTGTGTCGTTTTGCTGCTAAGTTGATGTTCATGTATTCTTATGGCTAGTTTCCTGTCTCTGATGTTATACTTGTGGCAGTCGTTGCATGGTATATTGTAAACTACGTTGGTTCTGCATGTTGTGGGAATGGAGTCTTTAATCCTTGTGTTTGTCATAGAGAAACACTGGCCACATTACTAGAGGAAGAAGGAATGCAGACCAGCAGCTCCATCAGCAATGACAACATACTCAAACTACTAGACTTGTGCCTCACCATGCACTTTTTCTTTACTGATCAAGTATACAGATCAATGGCACACCCATGGGGTCACCTGTCTCCGGACTCATCGCAGAGGTAGTCATGCAAAGACTAGAACACACTACCCTCCCCCTCATTCAACATAAAGTCTGGATTCGGTACATGGATGACACATTTGTCATTATTAAACGCATCAAACTAGAAGAGACCCACCACCTCATCAACAATATATTCACCGGGATTAGATTCACAAGAGAAGAAAACAACAATCAGCTTCTGTTTCTGGACGTCAGATCTGAATGTATGACCAACGGGGAGTTCCAAACTTCGGTGTACAGAAAAGCAAATCTTGACTGACCACATCCTCAACTTCCACAGCAACCACCCCAATGTCCACAAACAAAGCTGTATTAGGACACTATTTAAATGGGCCACCACTCACTGCAACACGCCAGAACTACGCAGGAAAGAGGAAAAGCACCTATATAAAATCTTCACAATGAACGGATATCCCCGCAACTTCATCCGCAGGTGCCTACTAAATAGACAACAATGAGTACACAGTACGCCCTAACACAATGGCCACACGACCCTAATCAAAAACATAGCAGAACTGGCAATGAGACTGCTATGACCACCAGGAATAATGGTGGCACACAAGCCCAAAGTCACTATACGACAAACACTCATAAGGATTAAAGACCCCATTCCCACAACATGCAGAACCAAAGTAGTTTACAAAATGCCATGCAACGACTGCCACAAGCATAACATCGGGACAGACAGGAAGGAAACTAGCCGTCAGAATGCACGAACATCACCTAGCAGCAAAACGACACAACGAACTCTCCTGACTACCGGTACACTCGGACAATGAAGGCCAGTTTAACTGGGACAACGTGGCCCAAGCCAAACAAAGACATGCAAGGGGATTCCTAGAGG